AAATAGGAAAACTTCATAAAAATTTGAGAGCTGTAAAGAGAAATAGGAGTAGGATTACTCATGGAAGGGGGAGAAGGTCTCTCTGAAAAAGTGACTTTGGGCAGAGTCTGAATGACAAGAAACTAGCCAAGTAAAGGTCTGGATATTCCAAGCAAAGGGAAAAAGGAAACCACATGTGCTGAGATCCTGAGAAAGGAACACGTTGGTGTGTTCAGGGAATAGCAAAAAAAAAAAAAAAAAGGTCAGTGTGACTGGAGTATAGTGAATGGGGGAGAAGGAACCAGGAGTGAGAATATGTCGAATGTTTTCACCTGCAGAACAAAACTTTTTTTCCTGAGAATAAGATCTACACTGAGAGTTATAAACTCGAGACCACAGGATCTGATTAATATATCTAAAAGATCTCTCCCACTGTTACCTAGAAACTGAACTGTAGAAGAGCAAGTGTGGAAATAAAGAGACCAAAGGGTTAGGATCTCAGTTGTATCTCTGAAAAGATAAAACAGTTAGGAGATGGGAGAGCAGCCTCCACCTCTACCCCATTCTCTAAACTTTTCCAGACATAGGTGCATACATCAAGCCAGGAGGTGACCAGACACAAATGTGACAATAAATGTAAGAACTAATTCATTTTGAGTGAACAAGAGTGAGTCCCCAAGCCCAAAAGAACTAAGATCTCTTTTAACAGAGTCCTACAAAACAGATGAAGACAGCTAAATGGGCATGAGTTCTTTAGCAAGTTTAAGTCCCTGCTGACCAGCCGCAGCTGTTAAAGGAGCTATCCAGGGTGCTGGACTGTGTCACCCTGAAGCTTTCTAAGGCCAGATAGATCAGGCTCTGTTATACTTGTAGGACCTAAGGTCCCCACTGCATTGACCCACAACCAGACTCTACCCTGATACCACTGTCTTCCTGGTCAAAGATAACCTGTAAGTCAATACCTGCCTGGGACACGTTTGTCTGACTGAATGATGAGCAGCTTCTGTTGGCATCTTATAGAAAGAATATAAAATGGCAACATAGCTAGTGGAGTATAGGTAGGCCTGGGCCCCCTCTGTGCCACATGACCTTCCGAAATAATAATGAGAGAGAAGCAGTGAGCTCAGTGGAGTCCTTTTTCCTTGAAATTATATTCAAAGATAGTATCTGGCTGCTGAAGCTGCAACCAGATCTGCTTACATAACTCATCCCAGAGTCTCTGTCTAAAAAGCATCTTAAGGAACACTACTTCTATGCCTGCAATGATTAATAAATTCATAAAATATCCAATTTCGCCCCTTCTGATTTAAATAGCATCCTTCACTTTGCTTTTTAAAAAGAATGTGTTTCACTGGAGGCCATTACTCAATCTCTTAAGTAATCAAGTTTGTACACTAAGTAGTGGATGAAAATTTGTATGCTTTCAAGCCAAACACTTTACCTCTTCAACCAAAACACTTAGAACATGAGAATAATCTGACGTACACTCATTTCTAGCTCTCTTCTTAAGTAACAAAGAAAACAGGGAGAGCTGCTGCATCTTCAGAACTTCCCACCTACGTGTCAGATCCTTCACCATCCTTAAATGTGTTTGAGGGGCAGTGTGATTTATAAAGAGTCACAGACAATTTCAGCAAAAACTTTTTAGTTCCAAGTTATCAAGACTATGATGAGAAAGCAGAACTAGAAGCCCTTAAACTTGCTCTGGTATTTTCCTTTTATACATACACACAAATAAATCAAATACAGGGAAACACCTTTAAAGTAAAGAGGGAATCAATTACTTAGTTTTTACACAGCCTAGGATTAAATCCATGGCCCAGAAATGTCTTTGTCGAACAGTACATTAATTTTGTTCATTTTTATGCCCAAAATTCCCTGCACTCTGCCTTTCCTCCTGGTTTTCACTTGTGGACTCACTCACATGGCTGGACATGTATTCCCTCCTTCTTCATCATGCTTCCTTGACACACTCTCCAGACTTAATCAGGAAACCTCTGAGAGCCAGACTCAGCCACCAGCAGGACTGAGTGAAGTTTGGATCTTCCAAACTATGAGATGCTGCCTTCACCTCTATCTTGGCACTGTCATCAAATTGCTGGTTTATTGCTCTGTATGCCCCTTTACCTCACAAGTTCTGTGAGGGTAGCGACCAGGCTTCTCTATCATTGCATTTCCAGGGTTTTGCACAGGGGTTTGTTAGTAAAGCTAGTCAATGACTAAATGAAGGAATGGAGAACTGAATAATTTTAAAGTTCTTCCCTAAATCTTAAAGTTAATAACTCTGCCTTATTTCTAGGCTTCTTCCAGAACTTTGGACTCAATATTCATCACATTTTAAAAACCTAAGATAAGTAACTTCACACTATGATAACGTAAGAAGTTTCTGAAACCAAGTGGGAATTGCATTTTTAAAAGCTACAGTTTTAATGTAGTTCTACTTGCTGGTCTGCATATACAAGATGGAGATAAGAGATATATGTATATATTTTTAACTATCAAAGAGTAAGCAGAATTTTTTCAAAATATTTGAACTTGAGATAGTGCCATAGCAATGAAATATCTCACATTGTATTCATTGATTTTTATAAATATATTTTTCTTCTTTTTTTTTCTGTTCTTAATGCTTAATGACAATAGTAAATGTTATGGGATTTTATACAATCATATCCTAAACACTGAACAAAAATGATGCAAAGAATTTGTGAGAATATTGCCATTGTTTCTTGGAGGAAGATTATTTCCACTTTCCATCTTAATAATTTTACATTTATAACTGATATTCTCACTTCTTATGTTCCTCTATTGTTTTCCTTATCTTTGTCATACAGGTAGCACTTTATCAATACTGACTTACTTTCTGATTGTATGATGAGAACAAGTACATTTACTTCCCCAAATACATTTCCTAAATAAATTCTAAATTTTGTGGGATTATGGATTATGTCTTACACTTTTTATTTATCTCAGAACATCTAATCAGGTATAGAGTATGTTCTCAGTAAAATGTGAATAATCAAAACTTCAGGTTTAAAAACCCTCTTTTCCCTTTCCATAAATAATGGTATTTACATCAGATAAATAAACATTAAATCAGGTAACAGTAAATTATGGCCCATGGGCCAGGGCTAATTCGTTACCTATCAAAAAACTCTATCTTATTAAAATAAAGTTTTACTAGCTCATAATCACTTCCATGTGTTTACAGGGTCTCCTTACAGGCTACAATCCAGTTAAGTAGCTGCAACAGAGACTGAATTACCTGGAAAGCCTAAAATATTATTACCTGGCCCTTTACAGACACACTTTTCAACGACCAATCCAAATCATTTATACTGATGAGGAAATAGTCTAAGATCAATCTGTCCAGTTGTGCAGTTAAACCTATCTACTAACCATAACTCTGCCAGTGCTCTTTCACTGCCAGATTAAATGCTTGGTGAAAACAATGGTATTTTAGATTATATAAAATCAAATAAACAATAAGACCACAAATTAAGAGAGTTGTAAAAAGACATCTAAGGGCTTATACCAACCTAGATCAAAATATAAATGTCATTTTTGTGAATTAAAATAGGATCATCTAATAAAATTAAATAGTCTGTGTGCATATATATATTTATTTACATATGTTTAGCAGATGAATAATAAATATATTAACCTACATTTAGAATTTACACACACACACACACACACACACACACACACACAGATTACTATTGACAATGTCATTAATTTTATAAAAATACCAACAAAAAAATCCATGTCTTATAGCAGAGTTGTAAAAGATGTTAAAAGCAATGTGTCAAAGAAAATGCTTTTAAAATGGACCATGTTGACTTCACATGCTACTCAGTTAAGATATGAACAGCTTTAAAAAAAAAAAAAAAAAAAGTCTCACTGGCAATGGAAGGAAAAATAAATACTATGTACCATTCCCCAGCTTTTGTCTCATATTAGGGCAGGAAAGAGCTATCACAGAAAGTCTATGAGAATCATTTCTTCGATCAGTGGTTATTAACTTAGCAGACTCTGGTTTTCAACAAGTTACTTAAATCTGGATTTTTGTAGAAGGAATCACATGAAAACTCCATCAGAAATATACTTAGTATTTATATACTAACCTTCACCTAAGCTGAAAAGGTAAAGAATAACAAGAGAGAACAATATCCCACACTTAAGATAAAAAATGAATTCAGTTAGCCTAAACTGCTGTCAGATCTCTCTGTTCCTGTCAGATAAAGGATATTTACCACAGGTATTTTAGGTATTAAAAATGATTAGTGTTTCCCGGGGGTATGTTATTATAATACAACAATAGAGACACTTCTGGAGTAGAAATAAAGTATAGCTGGCAGTATATTAGCTACAATTGGTAAACTATAGACAAGAAAAGGATGGAGGTAGGCAGGAAAATGTAATGCTACAGGGAGATATTAATAACTGTTTGGTAAAGATGATACATCCCCCATTACAAGACATCAGCCACTGGGTCAGCTCATAGCAAAATGTCCTGTCATCCATTGAGACAAGAAAGAAATGGAAGAGAGGAAGAGGAGAACAAGCTAACCTAGAACAAAAGAGAATATTTCCCTGGACAAGGCCAGAATAGAGAGATAATTATGCATGGACAATGAACAGCATACACCAGATCATACAGGCAAAGTTGTCTACCAAACATGAATGTCCATCTGCCATCCCCCAATCAAGGCATACACACATTTCTTTTGTCCTTAGAGATCCAGCTAGTGGCATTCCTCTGTAGAGTTGCTCAAGACTGTTTGAGTCTTGCCAGAGGAAGGAAGCAGAATTACCCAGCCTCAGCTGCCCTGGCACGTGTCAACTCCTCCTCCTGAGATCCTGTCTCTTCTCCACACTTCCATGAAAGATACTACTGGCACCTACTAGGTATTCATGTTTTGGACAAATGGCTGATTCTATGTCTTCCTTCCTCAGTCGCTTTGGCTCTTAGGATCTGCTCGTGGGATCAAAAATAGAAGTCGTTTTCAACACACTATTACCTTGAATACTTCTCTTGAAGAAGGCCTTGCAGCCCTCACAGGACCAGACTCCATAATGGTAGCCTGAAGCATAGTCATTGCACACTGCACAGTAGCGAGTCTCCTTGGCAGATTCCATAGCCATACTTCCCTTGTCATTGGTACTGGCCAATCTCTCTCTGCCACCCTGGCGACGATTATCTGAATTTGGCCTGGGGGGAAAAAAACAGTAAATCCATTAACATTAGAAAAGCAAAACATGCACTCTCTGGGAGATGCAGCAGATCCACTTTATCCTGACATTTTGAAATAATGAATCATAATGTAAGCTAATCTTTCATTACCTCTTGCCGTCTGTTGCAGCAAAAGGTGTTGCCTATTATATTAACCTTGAGGGGAAATCGTTTATTGCAAACTTGATTTAAAAACATACTACCTGCACCAGAATATATTACCCAGAAAAATGGCAAAATGAAATTAGCTGGTTTCTAATAGACTTAACGTTTTTGCAGGAATTTACAATTATTTCAGAACCATTTAGGGACCAATGCTCACTCCAACTCTAGACCACGTGCAGGGTCTTTAGGAAACAGAGACAAAGCATAAAATGGGTGGGGCATTTGGAACTCAGGCGAACTGATGAGCCACACAGAACACATGTCAAAAAATAACAATTCAAATTTTTATGTCATTGCCACATAACCCTGGATATCAGTTTTCATAACTTAATCTGTAATTTGAAAATACTGTTCTTCAATATTCAAAACTCCTTTTTAGGAACACATAGAGACTGAGCACAGTGATTCATGCCTAGAATCCCAGGACTTTGGGAGGCTGAAGCAGGAGAATTGCTTAAGGCCTGGAGTTTGAGACCAGCCTCCACAATATAGCAAGACTCCATCTCTATAAAAGTGCTTTAAAAAAAATAGGTGAGAACTGTAGTCCTAGCTACTTGGAAGGCTAAGGTGGAAGGATCACTTGAGCCCAGAATGTCGAGGCTTCTGTAGGCTGTGATCATGCCACTGCACTCCAAACTGTGTGACACAGAGAGACAATCAGAGGAACACAGGAAAAAAATATGTAGAAAGAGAGACAATCAAAGGAACACAGAAAGGGAACTGAAAATTAACAGTAAGGAAATTCTACGAAAACCAAGAAAATAAGGAAGTAAAATGCTTTAAGAAAAAACCTAAAAAGAAATGCAGAAAGAGAGATAATAAGAGGAACACAGAAAAGAAACTGAAAATGAACAGTAAGAAAATTCTAGGAAAACCAAAAAAATAAGGAAGTAAAATGCCTTAAGAAAATAAAAGCCTTATGGAGAGAATGATCAATAATACCAAATGGGGCAGAGACATTCAATAAAGCAAAGACTGGTTAAGTGAATTTAGATCTGACAAAGCAGACTCTTAGCAAGGAGTTTCCATAGACAGGCATAGGCAGAAGCCAAAATCTAACAGATGGAAACTAAGGAGATGAAAATGAGGAAAGGCCATTCCTTTGAGAACTTGGAGGAGAATAGGAAAAGATACAGCTAAGGTGGCAGCTAAAGAATATAAGACCCAAGAAGATGAATTGTTTAGAATGAAGAGACTTGAGAAGGCCTCATGTAGACTGAAGGGAATGGGCCAGTAGAGAAGGAACGTTGAAAGCACAAAGAGGAAGATAAAAGAATAAAGCCAAGAAGGAAACTAGAGCAGCCAGGATTAAAAACATAGGTAAAAGAAACTGCCTAATGAAGACACCTTGAAGAAGACTGGAAGGAAGAAGGTAAGGAAAGTAGAGAAGGATGAGTTTTCATCTCTCACCTGACCAGGCATAGGGGTAGATGTCATGTTGGTCCAAGACTTGCTAGGCATGTGCAATCAAATAAAGGTGGGATAAGAGCCCAGCACAGTGCCTGGTATATAGCTGGTACTCCATAATATATTTAAATGAATGGAGAGAGTGTTCAAAGTTGTATAAGAAAGACAGGTGGGCAGATATTGAAAATATAGATGGAGTGAATGTTCCTATGAAATTTTCAAAAGAATCGAAATCCTAAGATGAGCTAAAGTCAACTGATGATAACACATCCAGGGTCTCTTGGCAAAGGAAGCTCATGCTTCCTGCTTCCATTCCCCACCCAAACACCCAGACCATACTCACTTTCACTGGTCCTCCCCTTCACAAGGCCTGTCTTTCCTTTTAGCCCAAATTGTATAACCTTTCCCTGCCTCCTCATTCATTATGATGGTTCACAATTTTGTAGTAGTGGTTCTCAAACGACATTTGCCATAATATTCATAAAATATTGGCTCCTTGGGTTGAATACGTCTGACTTTGCCAATTTTTTCCATTCTAAATAACTTTGTTCTGAGGTTGGCAGCCTCAAATAGGAATTCTTTATTTTTTAATGTTCTTTAGAGAGCACTGGCTCGCAGTTTTCAATTCCAGTTCGTATTCTGTTACCCATTCTTTCCATTTCACCACTATACCGTTGAGCCTGCCCCCATCAACCTCAAATCTTTTTATTGTTTGTTTACTAATATCTTATTCATGACTCAAGTCAGTAGGAAACAGCTATGAATATTTAACTGTAGAAGCTTAGTGCCTTTGGAGGTGGGAGTATTTAGCAAGTATGAAATTGACAGATTCAATGTATTGTAAGCCTTATTAATTGTTGGCATCTAGCTCAGTGCCCAGCACATAGCAGGCATTCAATACAAGTCTGTTGAATGAATGAAGGAATGAGTGAATGAACAGAATATGCATGGCCAGAAATTCCAGTGTGTCAAGTATCTACCCACCCATCCCTACATAATAAAATACTATATTTTTTAAATTGTGGTAAGATATACATAACACAAAATTCACCATCAGAACCATGTTTAAATGTTCATCTATTCAGTAGTGTTAGATATACTCACATCGTTATGCAACCAATCTTTAGAACATTTTCATTCCACAAAACTGAAACTCCACACCCATTAAACACTCCATACCCATTAAACAGTAATTCCCCATTTTCTCCTTCCCCAACCCCCTAGCGGTCACCATTCTACTTTTGTTCTCTGTGAATTTGATATTTCTAGATACCTCATTAAGTGGAACCCTACAGTATTTCTCCTTTTGTGTCTGGCATATTTCACTTAGGACAATGTCCTGAAGGTCCATGGTGTGACTAACATTCCCTCATCTGTACATACTACACAGATGATTTATCCATTCATCCATCTATAGACCTCTGGATTGCTACTACCTTGTGGCTATTGTGAATAATGCTGTTATAACTATAGGTATACAAATATTTCTTCAAGACTCAAATTTTTAATCCTTTTAGAGATACACCCAGAAGTAGAATTACTGGACCATATGAAAATTCTATTTTGATTTTTTGAGGAATCACCAGTGTTTTCTACAGTGGCTGCACCATTTTGCATTCTCATCAACAAGGCACAAGGTTTCTATTTTTTCTGTATCCTCTCCAACACTTACTCTTTTCTTTTTTTAATATGGTAGCCATCCTAATGAGTGTGAGGGGAATATTGCATTCTTATGTCACCTTTTCTGTGAATGCCTCTCTTACCAGCCACTCCTAATCCCCATAAATTTGAAATAACATCCCTGTTCTGAACTCCCTAGTAGAATTTCTTACTTCTCTTCTGCTACTTACAATGATATCCTTCAATTGATTAATTCTCATTTCTGTTACTATCTACAAAGTTCCTTGTGTCTTATTCATCTTTAAAATGTCATACGCTTAGAGTACAGTGCCTAATCTGGAATAGGGATTCAGTAATATTGATATCAAATAAATTAATCAATAACTGAATCAATGAATTTATAGTTTTCACAATATAAATAGAATATGTAAATTTTTTATAAATATTGGTAAAAGATTTAATAGCGAGAGCCCATTTTCCTCAGAAATAGCAAAGATGTACACTGTTAGCAAAATGCCATTCATTTACATTTTATCTCTAAGATGATCCCGAGATTACTGAAAATCAACTGTAGACTTTGGGCATGCAAATAGAAGGCATCTAAAGAAGACAGGGAAACCATACAGGCTGTATTCATCACTACCTATAAAACAACTTTTTTAGTCAACTTAGAAATCCATATATAAGCATTGTCACTTATCATTTTGGCTCAGACTTACACTATAAAGACTCTCAAAATACTATCAAAGAAAAAGAAGAATATAAACTAGATCAAGCTAAAAGGCAACTGGGATCTTCATCTAGGCTGCAAGACCCTGTGGCACATTGAAATAATATTCGTATTGAGTATCCATCAGACTATGTCTGTTAACATAACTTCCTCTAGACAGAGAGCCGTGTCCTCAGAATACAAACTAACGCAGTCCCACCATGGGCAGCAGGAAGGAATAGACTAGGAGGTGTCCATGTTTGGGCTCAAACCTGGCTATAAGGGTGGGTCAGGCAACAACCTGGGCTTCTCTGATTAGTCCCAGCAGATGGGCCTAGGAACAGGTCCCCCACCTCATCTCTTCCTGCTGCTCTCTACCTGGCCTTGGCCCACTGCACCTGTCAAAGACCTGGCATTTCTAGCCTCACAGCTCTTTAGTAGAAAGTGCCTATACCATGTCTAAGTCCATCCTTCTTCTTCTTCCTCAGCCCCAAAGGCCCTTTTTTTCCCTTGTTATCATAGTACCAAAATGAATGTCTCTTGCTGGGCACATTGGCACATGCCTGCAGTCCCAGCTACAACAGGAGGCTGGGGCAGGAGAACCTCCTGAGCCCAGGTGTTCAAGGATGCAGTGAGCTATGATTATACCACTGCATTCCAGCCTGGGAGACAGAGACCCTGTCTCTAAAAAATATATGAAATATATTTTTAAAATTTATTTAAAAGACTCTTATTTTCTTTTTTTAAAAGACTCAAAATGTTTCAGGGTCTGCCTTCCTAAGGGGAGACCTCACAAATCTTAACCTTTATTATAAGTAAAGGTTCATCTATTTCTTTAGCAAAATTACTAAGATACCTCCTTTTTTGTAACATTCTTATCTTTTTCTCATTTAATTGTCACCAAACCTTTACTGTTTCTCATCTTGAAACTCTATACCCATTAAACACTTCATACCCATTAAATAGTAATTCCCCATTTCCCCATTTTCTCCTTCCCCAACCCCCTAATACTCAGACAGGCACTTTCACTTAATTCGCAGTTAGGAAGTTGACTGGTTTACCAAGCAACACATTAAGA